CCCCAAAACCCCAAAACCCCAAAACCCCAAAACCCCATATATACAAATTATTTATTTAAAATCAAATTTAGTTATGAAATTAAATAGTTATAATAAAATCATATTGTTTCGAGTTAACTTATTGTCACTTATTCTGATTCCAGTCCTAAAAATCACTATTTTTCCTTGAACTCTCTACATTAGACTGCTCTTAATCCTAGCTTTCTTCTAATATCTAGTTACTTAGCATATTTCTATCATTGTTGATGCTTCCATCTAATCCTACTACTAATTTATTGCTATTTTTTAATTGCTTTTCTCTAGCACTGTCCAGCAATGTCTTATTTCTCTTAAGAAGGTTTACCTGTTTTCTTGAGAACTCATAGTCCCTTTCTATTTCATCAATTTGCTTTCCTCGCCATTCATTGGGCATTTTCCAGACTCTGAATTTACCACACTTTGCACCCACAAATAAAACATTCTTCTCCATGCAGTAGTGCATACAGCTGATCCTCTCACTAAAATCACTAGGCAAGACAAACATACAGTCTCCTCCGGCTTCTACATCGCAAAATCTTATTTTGCCCTTGTCGGAGCCTTCAACATAGCAATTCATTCTAGAGAGCCAAGCTATCTTGGAGAGCTTTTCCAAAGGCTCATAAGGGTTGGTTATAGTCGTAATGACCGTAGAGTTCTTTTCATTTTTAGAGTCTAATTATATACAAGCGAAACTAGAAGCAGATGTTAAACAGAATAGTAAATTCTTGGTAATATCTATGTCAATGTTCTTTACATATCCTAAGTCCTCTGCAAAACTAAGAGTATGGACTACTATTGGTGTAATTCCCTAGATATTGAAGATGAACAACTGGCCTTCGATAGAACTAGCATAGAGTCTTTTAAGCTAATCATCTATCTACAGTGCTCTGAACTTTGCGTTGAAAGTTTTTATAGATATCACTAACTTTTTCTCAGTCAAGTCAATCAAGTCAAGTCTTTTATCATAAGCGATTGAGTACAAGAAACATCGAGTCCTATCTAGTTTCATAGCTACAATCTTATCTTTATGAGCATTGATACATGAATGTCTGCTGAACTCTAGATAGTGCCTCTCTAAGTCAACATCGTATTGATAGTGATTCTAAATAGTATCCAATTAGCTTCTTTAAGTTCTGTTACCTAAGTAAGAAGTATTAGAATGCTGTCTTCCTCCTAGTCTTGCTAATTATGGAGCATTGCCACTTTTATTTAGATTGTTTAAGTGGAATTTCCCTGAAGTCTTGTTTGGATTTAAAGCCCCTTGCATGTCATCATAGTCATAATCCTCGACTTACTCGAAAGCCTTCTTCATTAAAACTGTGCCATCAGCAACTTACTTGCTTGGCTTATGCTTCTTATTGTTTACACTTTGTATAACTATATTCGGGGCCTTATTATGCTGGATTCTAATTGGAGTGGTTATATTTGAATTGTCTGTAAAGTCATTATCATATTCTTCTTCACTATTATCTTCCTCAGGCTCTGCATCCTCTTTATCAATTTCAATATTCAGATAGAAACTTTGAATCTTGCCATCTCTAAAACCTATTGATAAAAGATCTAACTCTTCACAATAAGTCAATGCCTTAATCTGAGTGTTAAAGAGATATTCCAAAAGCTTTTCAACTTTCTAAGATTTTGTTATATCTTTCAAAATATCATCAGGCTCATTATAATGCTGCAGATGTCCATCTCCTGCAGGATTACTTATGACTTTCCCACCTAAGCATCCTGAAAAACTAAAAGCTCTTATGACTGGAGCCTCTGGAAGCATAAAAGTATTTGGAGCCTTGATTACGTAAGAATCTCTCACGACCCCAGTTTATCTGAATGAATACACTTCGAGCTTAGAATTCTTCTTATACTTATCATTCAAGCAGAGTAAGAAAACATTATGCTTAGGAATGAATACACAATGCGAGACATAGAAGTACATTTGGCCACAATCTAGCATCTCAACTAGCTTAGGCTTTTTCAATAACAACTCTGGAGCAAACTTGTCCAGTTCCAGAAATCGTATCACATCCTTGGAGTTTCGAGTATCCACTCTATTGACGAGTCCTTTCATATAGTCTTATAGCTCCATTCTCCTTCTTTGTAGCAAATCTGGATTCTTAAGTGGAAGTAGTGACTTATTTGGAAATCTCGGGAGATCATTGTAGTTTTTGGCTTTGAGTATTTCATTTAAAGCGTGAAACTAGGAGAATCTCTTCTCAAGCTAGAGTTAGTCACCGGAATATATCTTAGAGAGATTGATTGTGTAGTAGACCACAGCCTTAACTTCCTTATAATTGACGATCCTGACGATCAAAGAGGTCTTTAATTCTTATGATAATGACTCCATCTGCATTTAATTAAACTAATTCTAATATTTGCAATATACTTCAAATGATAAAGTTATTATTCATTCATATAGATTAATATTTACTTTAATTAAGATTATTTTTAGTTATGGGGTTTTGGGGTTTTGGGGAGATCGGAAGAGCACACGTCTG